GGGGTGGAGTGTGTGTGAGTGAGAGTGCTGTGAGTGTCAGGGGTGCAGTGTGTGTGTGTGTGTGTGTGTGTGTGGGTGCTGTGAGTGTCAGAGGTGCAGTGTGTGTGAGTGAGGGTGCTGTGAGTGTCAGGGGTGCAGTGTGTGTGTGTGAGGGTGCTGTGAGTGTCGGGGTGCAGTGTGTGTGTAGTGTGTGAGTGAGTGAGGGTGCTGTGAGTGTCAGGGGTGCAGTGTGTGTGTGTGAGTGAGGGTGCTGTGAGTGTCAGGGGTGCAGTGTGTGTGAGTGTCAGTGTGTGAGTGAGTGAGTGAGGGTGCTGTGAGTGTCAGGGGTGCAGTGTGTAGTGTGTGAGTGAGTGAGGGTGCTGTGAGGTGTGTCCAGGGGGTTGCAGGAGGTGTGTGTGGGTGCTGTGAGGTGTCAGGGGGTGCAGTGTGTGTGTGAGTACCCAGAGGTGCTGTGAGTGTCAGGGGTGCAGTGTGTGTAAGTGAGGGTGCTGTGAGTGTCAGGTGCAGTGTGTGTGTGTGTGAGGGTGCTGTGAGTGTCAGGGTGCAGTGTGTGTGTAGTGTGTGAGTGAGTGAGGGTGCTGTGAGTGTCAGGGGTGCAGTGTGTGTAGTGTGTGAGTGAGTGAGGGTGCTGTGAGTGTCAGGGGTGCAATGTGTATGTGTGAGGGTGCTGTGAGTGTCAGGGGTGCAGTGTGTATGAGTGAAGGTGCTGTGAGTGTGATGGGTGCAGTGTGTGTATGTGAGGGTGCTGTGAGTGTCAGGGGTGCAGTGTGTGTGTAGTGTGTGAGTGAGGGTGCTGTGAGTGCCAAGTATGCAGGGTGTGTGTGAGCAAGCGAGGCTGATGTGACTTGGGAGATTATTTCCCCCTCCCTGCTTACCTTATGCCTGGGAGGGGGGATCCTGCTGCTGCCGCCATCCATCCCTGGTGGTCCTAGCCTGTGGGGCTAGAGTTCACTCCCGCGAGACCCGGAGTGTTGCCATGGCAATTCTCCGAATCTTGCGAGAGGAACCCGGCGGAGCTGTAAGTTAGAGTTCCGCCGGGTTCCTCTCCTGGCTGTCTCCCTCCCTCTCTCCCCGCCGGTGGCCGGAATATACTGCGTGTGGGCCAGTGAGGCCCGCCGTGGACTACTGCAGGGCCAGTGTTCGGATAGCGCTGGCCCTGCAGGGGCTGGCAGGGGAGATCCTGTGATCTCCCATGCCGGCCTCGGCCTCTGGCCACCATGGCCCACCAGGCATTTGCCCCGTGTGCCCGATGGCCAGTCCGGGCCTGTATTCAGACATTGGAACATGGAGAAATCTATCTAAATGCATTGTGCTTTATGTGATGTAAAACCAGTACAGTAGGCTATAAATATTAGTGTAGTTAATTAATAGCAATTAAGGTACCTTTGTAAAACATGTACAAAGATTCTTTTTTTTGTAAATATCTGTTTATTTTGGCATGGGGTTTTCCCCTCATATCGTTATTTTTTATTTTATTTTTAAACAAGCATGACATAGAACAGTGGAATACACGACTCGCAGGTCTGTGTCAATGAAGCGTAAACCATGGAACTCGCAGGTTCCTTAAACATTTAGGTAACTTGTGAGACACGCAGGTCTCCATTGTTTTTGGGTTATTAGTTGTCAGATGGTTACTAATCAGTGGTCAGTTGTAGTTACTGTTTAACATTAAACAAAGCCAATGATTCAGTAACAGTGTCTGTGTGAGGTTGGTGCCCCATTGCATTTATCTTCGTGATGTCGGTATGTGTCTCTCCCACCCTGTTGTCCCAGTCATCAGTGGTCACTATCTATCGGTTCGTCCTAATAAGGGGCTCCCTGCGCGGGGGCCTAGGGAGTCGGTAAGTTTCTGAGGAGGGGGGGAGAAGGAGGGTATTAAGGTAAGTAGAAGGCAAGTTTTGCTCTCAGTGATTGGTGTTGTGCTTATATTAAGGTTCTTCTGGGTCTCTACTGGTGGTGTCAGAAGTGTCTTACTGTAAAAGTGATTTGAAATCAGCTGAGTCTGTGGATAGAATCCACTGAGTCCAGATATTCAGGTAGGTTTGGGGTTTCTCGCTGCTGCAGAATATTAGGTCTTCCATAGCACGGAGTTCTTCCATGCGTTAGAACCACAGTTCCATCGTTGGGGCTATGTCTTTCTTCCAGAATAGAGGCACCAGCCCTTTTGCAACATTCAGAATTCGTATTGTCAGTGAGTTTTTGTATGTGGATGTGCGGGTTTTAGTGTGATGTAAAAGAATTGGTGCCGGTTTGAAGGGGGGTGGTGTAAAGAACCCTGAAATGGTAGCTATGGGTTCGTATGTGTAGCGGATGGCACTGGGCTGTCCTGGAAATTGCATATGTTTGAATGTATTCGTGTAAATTGCAGGATTATATGTGTATAAATAACTTGTATTCGTCTGATTGTTCGGTAGAATCATTCTAGCAACTAAGGCAATGAAACTACCGAACAGTCAGACCTCCCCTGTGTGAAGTGTGCCTTCAATTACCCGTTGCAACAATGTTGCGAACGGGTAATTGACAAGCTGTGCAGTAGGTCCTTTGTTCTCGGGGTGGCGGCGGCCATTTTAAAACTCCTGAACAGCGGTGTTTTGCTATCGAGTGTCTGGAACCCAAATCGGGGAATATAAGCTCCAGAAAATTGTAAGTGCTATTTTTATTAAAAACACAGAGGCTCCTATTATGCTTTCTCTTTCCTTTAATTTCCCTCAGCAGTGAAATAGGGATGTATACAAAAGAGAAAAATAACATAACTTTGCTTAGCAACAGTGCTACCAATCAGCATCAAACACTTAGTATATAAGGTGTAGCACTCCATAACTCTCCCTCTTTCTTTGCTACTCCCTCAGACCAGCTAAGTACATTCATTATTCTCAATACACATTGTATTTTTTTTTACTGTGAGGTAATTTATGTTAAACTTCCCTATTATATTGATGCAACTGTGTTTATTTTCTGGACCTGGGGAGTGTGCCAGCTAGTTTGCCCCTTTTCTCTGGGTGGGTTTTTTCTCATCCCCTCATTTCCCTTGGGAGACTGTGTTTTCCCTACCTCCCTCCAGACTATCTTTGCCTGACCTGGGACCAACAGCAAGGGTCCCTTTCCCCTCTCCCTCTCTACCGTTCCTGGTCTATAATGGCCTCTTTCAGCCGCATGTATTTTTACTTTTGTTTTGCGCTGATCACGATCGCCGCGCATGCGCTGTCCGCTCGTGGCGGCCATTTTCTGGGTTTCCGTCGTCACCCCTTGTGGCCGCAGCCATCTTTTTTACCCAGAGTAGCGTAATCTCGGTGTGGGTCCGGTCTTTTAGCGGTACACGGCTCCTCTCCTCTGGCACACTCCCAGTCACTGGTACTGTTCTACCTGCTTTTTTTTTTTAAATTCTTTATTTTATTTGTGCATAGCGTGAACATTCATGTTTACACTGCCACGATAGCTAGTGCAAGCAGGTATGGAAACATATAGTAACATAGTTATGGCATTGAAAGACATTGCACAGTTTTTATATTTAAGATAGGAAACGTGAAGGGTTAAACCAACTTGTATGACTAAACAGTATGGTGAAGCTTAAACACATATTGTATGTTGTATATACTAATGAGTAATATGCTAGCACCCTCGGTAACTCGATTGGAGCTATGCTAAATACCAGGCGTGATGTGCACTATACACAAGAGGGAAGGGTGAAACATATGGTATAATGCTTTATCATAACCGGCTGTAGTATGGTATTTAACAAGCCATGTTCTAGATTACATTGCTGCACAGAATAGCATAGCAACACCCTCTGGTATCTCATTTACTCAGAGCCTAATGCGTTTTACATGTTAAAGGCGTTATGAGTAATTCTCAAGACTGTAATGACATAGGCTGGGATAAACTAGGAACAACATCAGCATTAATAAAGTTTGGCCTATAATATTAAAACAATGTGAGAGTAAGTAGAAGGAGACAGCAGACAACAGATCAGCATAACTTAACAGACTGGGAGTTCGTGTTGCAGCACAGAAAACTTTCTCCAGAGCTCGGGTAAAGATTTTAGGGCTCAGTCTTCAGGGAGGCTCGTAGTCAGCCGACACCCGCTCTGTGGAGCCTCTGGAGTTGCGTGAAAGCCGCTCGGAAACATTATTACACAGTCCAAGGCAATGTGGGACTTTGAAAAGAAGTCTGGTGGACATAGCGGTGCTGGGCTATGGGAGTGAGAGTCGTTGGGTCACTAAACAGGTGAGTGCGACGGCGCTCGGTTGCGCATGACAGCTAGTGAGTGAGTTACCAGCCGAGGTATACCCGAAAAGACAAAAGAGGAGAAAAAACAAAAGCACAATAAATGTAGACATATGTGGCAGTACACAATGTTCATTAGTGATGTAATCTATATAGGGCCAGGTGTCCGCGGCCACAGGCCGGCAAGTCCATGGTGCACATGGTGATTCTGCGCTGCCATGCAAATAAACAGTCAGCCTATGCCCAGGGTCGGAAAGCTGTGGTAGGGCTGTCCAAAAATGCCCCCTTGTCTGGGGTCCACTCCAGTTGTGACCCACAATGTGTGCAGTCTCTCAGCTACTCGAGGTGCAGTGTGGACTGTAGCGGGTAAGGTCGTGCTGCCTTGTTTACTGCCTGTCAGGTCTGGTGCGGTGCGTGTATTTCTTCTGTGCGTTCCTCTCAGTGTCGGAACACCACCATCAGGTACGTGGAGTGACCGACCAGAGTGCTTCTGCATCTTTACTTGCCGGCTCCCGAAGGCTGCCGCCTTGCTTTTTTTTGTCGCTTTTCGGGTCTCCGGTTACCTTTTGTCTGTTAGTTTCTCGCAGCCTCTGTCCCGCTGGGCGATTCGGTGCCTGGGGTGACTGTGCCTTCCTCCGTGTGGTTTTTCTTAATTGAGTGTGCTTTTGGGTGTTGGGCCCCATCACTGGGGACAGTAGAGCTTCCAGTTGCTCCCAGAATATTTGGAAGGCCCTGTCTATTTGGCTCTCCCCCTCTGGCTTCCCGCTTAGGAAGTTGAAGGTGCACGCTGCCTCCGCCATTTTAGGAGCTTCTTCCGCCAAGTTTCTCCCTTGCTTTACAAACTTATTCCTGTGAGTCTGTGTCGAGTTGCCCCCGTTATCCAGGGGGGACCGGGATGACCCCCACCGGTCCATAGGGGGCGGGGGAGGTTGTGCTACAAGCTTACTGTTAGCCGTGTGCGTCTGGCGGGAAAGCGGCTGCCTTTCTCCGCCACCTCCCTCTGTAGGCCCCAGTCTGCCGATCCGGTGCCCGTTTACACCGGACATCAAGTGTGGTGTCCTTGGGTTCAGGTCGATTTCCCAAGTCCAGTAGGTCCACTTGTAGAAGGGTGAGCGCAGTGCGGCTTGAGTTATTCTGCGTTTTTATGCTCGGTGCACAGGAGCTGATTCAGAACACGTCTGCTCTGTTAGCTAGTCAGGCTCCGCCCTGTTCTACCTGCTTTTATTGTGTTATATTTCGCTCATTTTTTATCCATGTCACTTGGTGTGCTTGGATTAAGCAATCCTTGCCTCACTTTGTCCTTGTTGCTTCTATTTGACTTTATGCAGCATGCAGCATGCAGTCTGCTGATGATGACCCGTCCGGCCACCCCCTACCTCTATTGGGGACCCCTATCTCTGACCCTATTAATGAAGCCACTCTCATGGGTTCAGAGGAGTTCCAAAGCCTGTTAGATGCTCCTATGTCCAGCTCCAATAGTAAGGCCATAACATCGGCCATGGGAGCTATGTCCTCCACCATTACACATTCCATCATGCAGGATCTGATGCAGGCACACCCTGCCCCTCTAGCCCCCTAGCAGACTGCTGCCGTTTCTGAAACGGTGTTGCCGGGCCGTAAGGCCCTGAGCAAGCGCAAGCACGGTAATGACCCTCCTCCCACCCAAGAGTTCCCTGTTTTAACCGACACACCTAAGGCTGTCTATGATGGCGCGCAACAACCATGCATTGGAGCCACTGACCATGCAAAAGTGGCCAGACATTGGAAACGGGTAAGGTCCCAAGATATGATATCCGATTTGGACAAAAGTGAGGAGGAGGTATCAGATCCTTATGAGGACGAGATCTCTTAAGGCGAGGACCTTCCATTGAAGCAATTCCCATCCGCAACGGCTAAAGCAGCCCTAATGACTGCACCGGATGTATCAGGGTCAGGCGAAGTCCGGGACACAAAGGCAACACTTTTGTTTGATCCAGACAATTTACGCCACCCTCGCTCCGCAGAATGGGAACCACCAGAGAATATTGCACAATACCTAGCACTGAGAATGCGTAAATCTCTTCAACCAAGAAGGTTGTTATAATCCGAGGACCGAATGCCCCCGACCAGTCATACCTGACATAATGGCAAAACCCCTGAAGTGGACCAACAAATTGTCCAATTTTTGTCAAAAACAGTCTGGAAGCCGAAAAAGGGCCTTTATTATTCATTGCGAAATTGTCAGGACAAGTTCCTGGACACCCTGGGTCCAATCACCAAACTATACAAACTGCTTGAGGCAGCGCAATCGGGTGGGGCCCAATTAGACTTTGAAGTGGCCTTTGGTTGGCTACAGTGCTTAGTGTGCATGGTTGGCAATGCCAATACGGCAATGTCCACAGAACGCAGGAAGGCGATTCTGCTGAAAATCGAGCCACAATTGGCTAGCATGGCTACCACAGAACCGGGAGCTCCTGCTAAGGGCTTACTGTTTGGCGAGACCTTCATGACCTTCACAGTGCTAGATAAGGCTCAGTCCTCAATCAAGAGAGTCTTCCACCAAAAGGTTTTTGGTGGGGCCGGTAGAGGTAGGAGCCGTCTATCCGGCCGCAATCCCCGGGGTTTCTCCAGACCGGGCAGAGGCTCCTTCAATCCGCAAAGACTGGTACAAGAGCGTTTACATATCCCCTTCTTTCCTACCAGAGGACGGTCGGGGAATGACCCCAGGAAAACGTCCTTATGGCATGTACTATTTATTCCCATTTTCCCATATAAATGGGGGGAAGACTAGCCCTGTTTTACCAAGCCTGGGCTCACTTTGTCCTTGTTGATCACATCCGATACATGGGTGTTACACACTATTCAGGGGTATCACTTGGAGTGGACAACCCTGCCCATACAGGACACCCCTCCACGGGTGCTCAATATGCCCAAACCCCATCTCGATCTAACCTCAGTGGAGATCAGGGAATTGAGGGCCAGGAATGCAATCGAGGAAATCCCTCAGGATACACCAGGTTTTGTGAGCTTTGGAACTATTGAGATTTATCTTAAATCATAACTACTTCCTCTTTAATGACAGATTCTACCACCAGGTGCAGGGGACAGCGATGGGGACGGCTTGCGCCCCATCATATGCAAACCTGCACCTGGGTTGGTGGGAGGAAACGGTCATTGGATCAGCCAATTTTTCATTCTTTTCCCCTATGATACATCTATGGGCAAGATACATAGATGATATTCTAATTGTATGGAAAGGCACACCCAGTGATTTTGACCTTTTTGTGAATCTTCTAAATGACAATAATTTTAATCTAAGGTTTACTTCTGAATTTGGTGGAAAATCCCTTAATTTTTTGGACTTGACAATTTCAGTTGACAGTGGTAGGTCCATCCAGACAACCCTTTTTAAAAAGCCTACAGCCTCCAACAGCCTTCTGACATGGGATAGTTTCCATCCAAAACCCTTGAAACAAGGAATACCTATCGGTCAATATCTAAGGGCACGTAGGAATCGAAGCACTATCCAAGAGTTTAAAACCCAAGCGAATATCCTTCGACAACAATTCAAGGACAAGGGCTATCCCAATCGGTGCTTGAAAAAAGCATACAGGAGAGCCCTTGAGTCCGATAGAGAAACCCTCCAAACAAATAATCAACCTCCCACACTTACAAACCCTCCCCCATGTATGACTGTAACATACGACGCAGGATGGGATAAAGTGAAATTGGGCATTCAGAGATTCTGGCCTCTCTTAATCGGCGACATCCATCTCAAATTTTTTTTAGGTCCAAGTGTGGAAATGACAGCATGAAGAGGCAAAAACATAAGAGACCTCCTAGTTCCTAGTCATTTCCAATCACAACGGCTCAATACAAAGACTTGGCTCAATACATCTATCTTTGGTTCTTTCCAATGCGGGCGCTGTGTTGCCTGTAAGTACATTAAACGCGATTCTAAAATTGTATCTGACAGCGAAAATAAACAATTTTTCAATGTCACTTCATTTTTTAATTGCAACACCTCAGGTTTAGTGTATTTACTTACCTGTAAATGTGATTGTAAGTATGTAGGGAAAACTTTTCGCCCTTTCAAAGAAAGGATTAAAGAACATGTCAGGTCACCCAAACTTAGTATTGAAACTCCGATCGCTCACCACCTGAAGGAACATCATTCAGGTAAACCACATGGTCTACGGTTTTGTGGTTTAGAATTAGTGAAACGAGACAAAAGAAGGGGGGACTATGACAGGTTCTTAAGGCAACGCAAGAGTTTCTGGATCTACAGACTCAAAACACTACAACCCAAAGGGTTGAATGAAGGCTTTTCATTTGCACCTTTTATCTAAATTACCTGTGTAATCTTCACGATTTATGGACTTGAGTTGTTATCTAGAATGGATCATTCAATCTAATAGACAGTTTAGATGTTCAGCTTATACTTTCTTTTATTCATATGTGACAGTAATGTTTGGTTTATACTGAATGATACCCTAATCACATATATATAAATTAACATCTCAAATAACACTGAACCTAGTGTGGGATTTTCGATTAATTTGTAATATTCAGGCTATTATGGACCAGGATATGTTTAATTTATACACATTTCAGAATTACCTATCCTGGCTCCTGTTTTTAAATCTTATTACTATGATTATCCCTATTTGTTCCATTCTACACTCTCATACATACTCTTCTTTACTCTCTTTGTGCCCACTCTTTATATATACACACACGTTTCATTTATGATCAGCTTAATTTGTTCGTTTTTCATATGAACTATACATATTTACCATTGATCCCTTGTGTTTTGATACGTGGTATTTACATTACTTTTTGGCACTGAAGGGGTTATCCTCCCCATGCCGTCTTTGGCTACGTCACTCCCCTAGCCCCGCCCACAAACGGTGTCATCTGAATATTAACATGATATCTCGAAAAATGGGCTGGCACTAGAGGGTTTAAAAAGTGGCGCCAATCACACAACGGGTTAGCTCTTGACAAAGGCGCACGTGGGCGCTGAAACGCGCATTGAGCATTACCTAGTACAATATGTACTCTATTTAGGTCTTCTGTTTCTTCTCGAGAATTTGACTGGGATTTGGGGGTCTCCCAATGTATTTATTTATTAGTTAGGATTTCCGTACTTTTTGCCAGCCATATATCATACATTCAGACTTTCAAGTTAGTTTAGTTTAGTATAGGCTGGCGGATATGGTGTAGTGTATCTATTTATGGTACACCGATTTATTTAGTATCTTCTTTATTCAATACTTGGTATCTAGTTTGTTACTATAGTTCTCTTTCTAATTTATATATCTCTCCCTGCGGGGACATCTCAGGTGTTCTTAGTGTAGTATTTAGAGAGACTACTGTCTTTATTTATTGGTATCTGGCCGGACCAATCATACTACCATCCTCTTTTTCTTTTTCAGTCGTGCCTTACATTGGGGTACGTATGAAGCGTTAGAATCGGGGTTTATCTTTATTTTGACAGTCAGTGTTCGACCCTTTCTATTAGTTAGGCTCATTACTGCCGTTCATTTCCCCATAAGCAAACTTACCACCTTTTTGCACAATCGTTTTTTGAGCTCCCCCTATACTAGCAAGTACGGTATTTTAGTTCTATTTATGATTAGCAATTTGTTGCTTTATACTGGTGGAGCAGTTTTCTTAAGGGTATAGAGACTGCTTTTGGGAGCACTTTTTGTAGTTAACCCATTCCAGTCTCTTCTCTCTTTGTGAGCAACCTGTTTCTGGTTCCAAAAAAGGGCAGAGGCGTCTGTCCGGACGTAAATCTGCGACACTTGAATGCCTT